CAACGCCAACGAAACATGCTGCAGTGAGCAGACGTGCAAGCAGGTAGGCGCGTTCCTTCGAACTGGAAAGGCTGAGATTGGCAAAACAACGGAGCATAAAAATGAAAGTAACTAAATGTTATGAAAAAATTAAAAATATATATATATACTTTTTTTTTTTTTTTTGGCATAGGGTCTGTTTTTTAGCCGATTGTCAAAAGTCGCGACTATGGTAGCAAAATATACTTTATCCACAATTAATGTAAGTTTACGTGGATATCTCACATTAGCTAGAATGTTTTCATGGATTTTAGACTATTTTTATTTTATTACTTGGTAAGTAAAAATGCTGCAATTGGCAGCAGTGATGAGAATTAGTACACTTTTGATTGTCACATTTGTTCGCGCGTTTGAAATTAGATCATAAGCAACAAATTATAAGAAAGCTTAAAAATTACGTAATAAAATATCTGAATTTTAATATTATTATTATTAATACAAATCGCCAAGATCATGAAAATACGCCATTTAACCACAGGAGAGTTTCCAAAAAGGTATCATTTTTTTTTAGCACATGAAAAATTCTTGACTTCGTTATCAAGATGGACAAACAGTCCAACTCTGGATGTAATATAAAGTCCTATGCGTCACGCGCTGCAAAAAAACGCACAGACACACTTCTCGGATTCCGTCTTCGGGTTGTTGCAGTGAGAACAGCGTTTATTAATTTATACGTTTTGTGGACTATTGTTGAAATTAAATTTATTCTCTTATTCTTGTGGTGGGAATAATGTTAAACCAATTAATCATCTAAATACCCAAAAACCCATTAAAAGGCCCGCAGTTCATTAGTTTTCATGACAATTATCTGAGCGAGAAAAGGCAGCGAGGACGCACAAATATCAGCACTTATTTTTTCAACAACTACAAATATCAGCCTGGATCGAACATGAGTGTCACAAAATAAAGTTTCCGCGAACAACTTGTCTAACTAAATAATTACGCTGTGAGCGAAATTAAATCCAAAATAGAGGTTGGTTTCGGTTTCGCCCCAAAATTAAAACGCGCATCCTTGCGTAAATATTACGCTAAACGCCACTCTTATGTTCAGGGTAAAGAGGTGACTTGCACTCATATAACACCCTAGCTTCCTCGTATTACCAGAAATAATTTGTGTCGCTCAGTGAAGCCAGCACACTATACAGGTTCAGCAGCGGCACGCATCTCCGACCACTGAATAGTTTGATACATATGTATAGTTTCGTTTTCAGTAATTTTACATGCGTTTGCGCATCGTTATGCCCTTAGAAATGTTTTTTTTTTCTTTTTTCTATCTACAGGGTGTTTCAAGGAGAAGCCAGGCTCTTTAAATCGACCCCAAAATTCTCCCGTGCGAAACGGCGCCGTGTTGTTCGAAGACCGGTGGCTTCGCTGCGTTTCCATAGGAGCTAAGCCTTTTGTTCCTTTACTTTTCCTCAGGTAAATTCGCTCTTTGCAAATTTTACAAAAAAAAAAAAAAAAAGACACCATCTGTGGGCAACGCTGCACAAAGTGGTAGCGCGGTAGGTTAAGAAACCGAATTTTGCGGTTGATTTAAAGAGTCGAGCCTTTCCTTGAATCATCCTGTATAAAAAGAAGTCAGCAGATTTTCTTTTTTTATCAGGGAATCATCAGACAGCGTGCAAAATCGATAGATCTACTGAGAAATCAGTAGACCTGGCTACACTAGGTGGCGCTCTAATGGCCGATCAGAATATTAATCAGAACAAATCAGCAGAAAAGGGGTGGAAACAGAGAGGAAATTGTGGGAAGAGAGAATGCAGGGGGAAATCAGCTTTAAAGGGACACTGACACCCCCCCAATTTTTTTTTTAATTTTTTGCCAGGCGCTTCATTATGGTGTCGGAGGACTACCCAATTAATATTTTGCAACAGAGTAGCGTATTTTTTTAATAAAGCCAAAAGACGCAACTGCTCTAAACCGAAACCGAAACCCGACGGAGGTCGGAGAAGTGGAGAGAAGAGAGTGTGTGGCGGAAGTCACGTGGCTGCACCCGACCGTGTGCTTTATTTTTCTTTTTTTTTTTTCTCCTTCCCGATAGCAGACGACATGCGGCGTATGGGAACTGCTCGCCGTGGGATTCTTTTGCAGTTATGTTTGTTCTGCTCGTTGTTCTGTACTCCAAGATGAGTTGTTTTGTACATTGAGGAGTTGGAGATGAGTAGTGAGTGCCCGTGGTGAATCTTGATCGGCTCCGAAAAGAATACACCCAAGATGTTGCGTGAAGAGCCGGCTCACATGTCCCGCGTCCGAAACAGAAGTGGCATTGTGCGACAGAGTTTCCGAAAGATCAACGGGATCGGGACCAATGGCTGGCTGCAATTCCTGTAGACCATTTACGGGCACCTCGGAAAGCGGACGCTGATTCGTATGCTCCTTGCATTTTGTGGAAAGTGATTACATTGAGTTCGCAGGTGTCAAAAAGGAAATCCCATACCCTTTAATTCAGCGACGTGTCGTCCACAACATTTGTTTCTTATTTTTCTTTTGTTTCTGCAGTAATAATTGTAAAAAAAAAAAGAAATGTAGACATAAAAAAATATATAGAAAAAAAAAAAAAAAAGGTTTCACGGGGAGTCGAACCAGGTCCTACCGCGTGTGAAGGGGACGTCTTTCCCACTGTGCTACTGGTGCATATCGAAGTAGGGTATCTTTTTCCTTAGTAATAATTCAGCCGATAAACTGTAAGTTGGAAAGTTTGCTGCCGATTTTCCTCTAGCAAAAGCACTCCCGGGTCGAAGTCGGGATGCACCACGCATTCGCGACATTCTCACCTAGTAAAGAAATCGTACGCGTGCATATTCCACTCGAAGTAGACACGTCGCGCTTGACGTTTGCGCGAGCGATGTCTTCAGCCACGAGAAGGGAGCGACGGCTCGGCGACGTCTTCGTGCAAATCGGCTTGGTGGTCGGGCGTGTCGTAGGGGATGAATACCAACTCTTTCGACCAGTCCCAAATTTCTCTTTTAAAGGCAGACAAAATTCGCCGGTACCGCGAACGACAGTTCTGAAATAGATCAGGTCCCACGCCCGTCGTCCGCTGCCATCGCCGTCCCTGAGAGTCCCACGATACGCGAAACGACGCACGCACAGAATGCTTCCGGTTGTCTGCGGAACTTTTTTTTCAATCAACGTATTTGCAGCTTTTTAGAAGCCACAAAAAATGGGTTTTATATTTTTTTCTATTTTTAATATTGAGTGTGTGCTTTCAGTGACCCACGACTTTGATTAAATTTGGTGGTCGCATCGATACCTTAGAAAACGGCCCGTGACCGCGGAAAAGAGAGTGAGCGAGACTCGAACCGGCCAGTTCTTGATCGGCGGTTTTCGGGCGGAAAGAAACCGAATTTCGAGCCGCAAATTCTGTTCTGGGTAGTTGAGCTCTCATATGTCACGTACAACTAAAAACCTCGCCGAGCATAAATACCCTGTCAGTGTCCCTTTAAAGGGGTACTCCGCCGATTTTTGAGCTACCTCAACTAACTATATTTTCTGACTCCCCGGCCTTTGCCCTTTCTGGTATGCCATTTAGTATCGTGAAATTCATAATAGTTATTGCGAAATCGGCAAATGAAAATGATGCAAAAACAAACATTCAAATATACCCGCCCTTTTCAGGGCCGTGACGTCACTGGAAGTTTAGCTTGCCAGTCGGGCGAGCAGTCTAAAAAATAGAATATGCCAATCATTTGTTCCGTGCTGGAGCGCGGGGGCTGGAGCGAGCTTCCAAAGCATTCATTTGACACCATGAAACTGCTTCGAATCAGTTGGGAACAAATTCTACAGTCCAAAGAGTGAACCCCTGCACTTCCAATGACGTCACTTTTTCATTGTTGCCAGTAGAGACTTTCAGTTTGAAAAACACGGTGAGGACTAAAATTGTAAATTCAATAACTTCGTGAAAAAAAATTATTTTGACCTAATATTTGAGATACTATTTTGGCGATGTTGTCTGGCGAGTTTAGCAAAATTTCAAGGAAATCGGGGACCATGAAGAAATCGGCGGAGTACCCCTTTAACAATATACAGGGCACAAAAACAAGGAATAATTTAAAAGAAGGAACAGTTGTATGATAATTCCAGGATAATTCATTGGGGAGCTCATTGCTGTTTGAAAATTTTGAGGAGCACGGGCAAAGCACGGGGCTTCGTCCCACCCAGTAACGTTAGTCCTACCCTCATTTTTTTTTTTTTTTCGGGATGATTGCGGAGTTGGAGGGGGCACTGGGATCTCCTATCTCGTTGGGGATTTGCCAACGAGGTAGGGATTTGCTTTGCCAACGTGTTTGCAGACATGGATGGACGAATGGATAGGGAAAGATAAAAGGTAAAGGCACAAACGAGCTGGTGATGGTTAAACATTTCGAAAACAAACCGAGACTGGGACAATAAGGGACGGACAAACACAAAGTCTCAAAGATAGATTCTTTATTCGACCCTAGAGGGTCGCAAGGGTCGCAACATTACAGAAAGGCCATTGGTCCGTACCTGAGGCCTGTGGTGCCGCAGACAGGAACTTAACACAACAGTAACAAGAACATCAACAGTAATTAATATTTAACGCAGGGCATGGGTCATATATGGGATCTATGGGATGGTACGTGTCAGTCCGAAAAGGAGGTTGGTGGTGGATAAGATTGGTGGAAAAGACCTAGGGAGGGATAAAACCATAGAGTCATTACTCTGTGGATAAAACTCCTGATAAAACAAGCAATGGAAACACTATAAAAAAAAAAGTGTGTGTGTGTGGGGGGGGGGGGGGGGGGGGAATGTGTTCATGTAAAATTTATACAAATTAAAAAAAAAGGACGACAAAATCTTTGGCTAGGCGGCGTAAGCTACCGCCCATTACATTACCATTTACCTATTCATTAGGCTGCGGGGCTGCAGCAACCCCAGCAACCCTACCAACCCTACCAGACCCTACCAACCCTGACCAACCCTACCAACCCTACCTTGCCAGCAGCGACGACCAAGCCGACCAAGCTGACGAAGCGGGGACGACGGGAATGCGCGATTGAACCATTGAACTGATTGAACAGCTGCCTCTACCGTGATGGGAGCCGTAGAAACGTCTGCACAAAGAACAGCGTCTTTAATGGATTAGTGACATCTTCGTGGGCTACCGTCTTCGCGGCGTGGGAACTGTGGGAAACCCTCTACTCAGTCGAAGAGTTCAATGAATGCACTCAGTCGCAGAACGGTGCGGAATCTCGTTACATCGGTAAGCCAAGCGACGAGTCTATTTCTAAAGTGTTTAGTTGATAATTCAAGCGAGTGGGTTTTTGCGTTCCCTTGCCCTACGAATGCCCTGCCTTCTACAACATTTCATCTGCACTGTGCAAAATGAACACATCTACATTTGCGTCGAGACAGTGGTACTGTTTCCTGGCCCTTTGTTTACAACATTTGGCTTCTTTTATATGTGTACTCACAAAGGAAAATTTACACGGTCTTTTTTACCGCAAAAATAAACTAGGCATCGCCAAACGCTCATTCTCCGCCCATTGGTAGCGCTAGAGGTCACAACCAGATGCCAAAGTTTCACCCCGATCGGATTACTTATTCAAAAGTTATAAGTGATTTTCCGAAAATTTCAATGGGAAAATGGCGGCCGACGGAGTCTTCAAACACACGGGGCTCTATGGCACCAGAAACCGAAAACGGGCAAATATGGGCTCCATTTTCCCATTGAAATTTTCAGAAAATCACTTATAACTTTTGATTAAGGTATCGGATCGGGCTGAAACTTTGGCATCTGGTTGTGACCTCTAGCTCTACCTTTGGGCGGAGAATGAGCGTTCGGCGATGCCTATAGTTTATTTTTGTGGTGAAAAAGACCGTGTAAATTTTCTTTCGTGACACCCTGTCCTTTTTGACACCTACAACGAGTTCACTGCCACTCTTGTTGGTCGCTCAGCTTTTAAAGTAAACTATTCTTCCATTTTGGAAGCTGACCAGTCTTGCGAACCTTACTTTGAAAGACAGTCTCAGCAGACCTGCTTCCTGAATTCCAGATTACCTACAGCACTGGGCTTGTGGCTTGGATGTACGCCATATATGCTGGATTGTTTGTGTCTCTGCGCCACCTTGAGCAGAAAGCCATTCAGTAGCAGAAGACAGCGTCCAACGCGGCAGCCATGCAGAAGGAAGCTGACAACGCTGTCATCCAGGAAAAACTGCGAGAGCTGTCGCATGTCATCACGCAATGTCAGGCAAGTGGATGCAATACAGTCATGTCTTGGTAATATGGATACTCCACCGTGTAGACAACACTTTTGGGGACGAACCAGGTAAATACGCCCATTTTTGTCTTATTATTTGGACAACTCGTATTATGAACCCTTTTTGGGGGAAACTGAGGGGTCCTTACTAACGAGACGATTTCAATTTTTTATCCCATGTGTAAAGTTGTTGCGTCTTGAAATTGGAATGGGTAGAAAGTGGCCTTGAATGCCACGCAACATCAGGGGTTGCCTCAAGCCTTTTCACACAATCTCTCGTTCCTTGTATGCGTTCTTGCAATGTTCTGTCCTCCTTGTGAAGATCTGGAACGCTGAGTTGCTGGAATCTTCCTACTGAAATCCATGCAGGTTCGTTACACCAAACCTACTCATAGAGCTTGGAGGGACACTGGAATAAAAATTGAACCGTACACCCCTCGCATTGAGGCACAAATTAAACATAACAACATCTGCTTATGACAGTCGCACCTTTTGTATTTTGAACGGACGGCTATATTTTTCATTTCGTTTCTACGAGTTCCCCACCAGGAAATCGTTTCCCTGGAAGGAAACTCGTAGAAACCGAGGGTGCGATTAGGAAGAGAAAAGGTAGTAAAATTTGTGAGTAATTTCATTGCTTTCAAAAGCAGTCAGATTACTCTTGTAATTACTTCCTAATAAAAATTGATCAAATGATTGCAGCATTACTCCAAAAAGTAATGGATTACGAGTAATTTGATTACTTCTAGTGAGCACCGTATAAGTCTGTCAATGATCGTACGGCGTGCAAGTTTGTCTGCTCTATGCGGACTTGGCGTGCTTGTTTGCTCTCCAAATGTGCCCGCCACATGCTTTCGTTTCCCCCCCGGTCTCAACCGATGACGGTGCGCACTCGGCTGCCTCGTCGTCGCGCTTTCCCTGTGCGTTCTCTACGTTGCCCTTTGTTCAAAATGCGCCGAAGACGCATTTTGAATGCTCTCTTGCTGTACGCCATGCCCCGCCTTTCCGAATGCAGGAAGAGAGAAATCGGAGCGAGCACAACCTGACAAACATCAGCAAGACGCACGAGCGGATTCAGCAGGAGCAGAAGCTCTCCCCGTACTACAAGTCGAAGCTGCGTGGCCAGTACAAGACGGCCCTCCAGGACGCGGAGAGCGAGGAGGAGCTTCTCCGCAAGGCGCTCGACATCATCTTCGAGATACGCACCGTGCGCAACGAGCGTCGCATTGCCGCCAAAAACTCTGGTAGCTTGACCGTTTGCTCGTTCGTTCGGATCCTGCACGTCTGCCTGCCACCGCGACTTTGGAGTGGGAGGGGTTTGGACTCGGTCCTTTGTGGGGGGGCCATTTTGAATTGAGGCCTGAACTTTGGTTTTGGAATTGGGGCCTGAACTTTAACTCCAGCTTGACAACTGTCTAGTTTGACAGTTTGGGGAAGCTTCAGGACCTAGGAGTTGGGACGCTGTGACGACAGCAACACTTGCGCTCACTACGCTCTTTTTTTCTGGAACCTCTACGACCGACCTCCAGGGTTGCGGCATCTGATGGCACAACAGTCCTTTGATGCAATTCGCTGCTACTTAAGGACCACTTTTGATGCGTGGGTGGAATAGGGGCCCTAAAGGCACCAGTCCATCCTCATGCCTATTGGCGACTCCAGCGAAATCGACGCAGCGTAGCGGCAGCGTAGCGGCAGCGTTGAGGAGCTCAAGAGAGGAGGTCGTTTCGACTCTGTCGTCTGCTATCGGTGCTTGGTTCTCGTAGGCAGCATAGAAACAAACAATGTTTCCAGTAATCATTTTTACCTCTCTTTGACAAAATACAACAAGACAGTTGTCGCTGCCAGTGTTATAAACCAAGAATTTTTTGAGATTGCTAGTCGTCCCAGTGACAGACAATAGAACTACACTACGAAATAAAATAAAGCAATCCTGGCAAGTAGAATGGGACTCTGATCCTAACAATAAGCTCCATTCAGTTAAGCCTGTTTTAAGTGAATGGCACAGTGCCAGACACCGGGAAAGGTTTTATGAGGTCATCTTATGCCGACTGCGGATAGGTCACACACACTTGACTCATGGCTACCTTTAAGAAGCGAATACCCACCAACATGCGACTACTGCTCAGAAACCCTAAGTGTACTTGATATCGTTTTAGTGTGCCCACAATTTAATGATGAATGCCGCTCCTACTTTCCTATCTTTTTCAGAAAAATACCTTTTCACCTGGCACTTTTGCTTGGGGACGAGCCTGTTATTCCGTACACACAAGTTTTTAACTTTTTAGAGAACATCAATATTTTACACCAACTTTAATCCACAACTTTTGTTAAGCGATATTTGATATTTTGATCTACTGCAATATAAACCCTTAGTCTTGTGATATATTTACTCACCATGTGTTAGGCGCACTATGGCCTATGTGGCTGCTGCGCCAGAAACCTCCAAATTCATTCATTCAGTAATTATTTTTATGTTTCCACCATGTCATTCCTACGCACTGACTAGAAGAAGGTTTTTACCGTCGAAAAATTGCTTTGCTTTCATATGTAACACCGATTTTACGCTGCAGTGCAAGAAATAGATGGTGGTCCGCCAGCTGAACGACGAAAACGACCTCATTTTGTCCGCCATTTTGGCTTACCAGCGCGCTGTGCCTTTATAGTTCGCTGGAGTTGCGAATAGACCAATCTAAAAATCGCCCTCTGCACTCTGCCGTCTTGGGTCTACTGGACTGTAGAACGCATTTGAGCGTGCACAGTATCTCTCTCCTCCGAAATACCAGACGCTGTTTGTGCATTCGCAGTGCAGCGGCTCAACAATTTCTGCCTTTTTGATAGACGCTGGAAAGGTCTGTACCGCATATTCCAACATATGAGTCATATTTTTGTTTCCCAAATATCCATTGATGCATTTTATTCAACGGTGTGACTTAAATGTGAGACTTAAATCTGCTTTTGTTTTATGTGCATGGAGCTTTAATGTGCAGGACGTAGGTGAGTATATTGAAACGGCTTTTCACTTGCACGTATGTCATGCTCGTAACAGACGTGTGCAGGCTTAGCATCAATCCAGTTTTGCCACATTGACCGTAGAAAGAAGTGCAACTTAAGGCTTATTCACAGAATGAATCTTTTCAACACATAACGGTTTAGCGAAATGGAGATTTCGCAAAATCGGCCTGTTCACACGACGCACGAAGCCTGCAATGTACTGACTCATGACAATTTCACCAAACCTTGTCATCTGCACATGGAATATCAAGTGTTTTGCATCAAAATGATATGAAGTATGCACTGTGTGAAGATACAGTCTACTTTATTGATACCACTCCATAAATTTTGTCAGATTTGGCTCACTGGGTTTGCTAGGCTTCCCAAACCCAAGAAACACCACGAACGTCAAAGGACAGGCGAATGATCTCAAAGTATTTCGGACATTTTTGCACCGATAAATGATACGTTATCTCTAGTCATCATTTTTGTATACAGCGCTTGCACTCGTCGTGACTGTTGATGAATCTGCACCACGCCTCCAACTACTGCTAACCCATATCGCCCATACGCAACTTGTACCTACGTACCACTTCTCCGCTTGTTGCTCACCGCCATGTTCTGTTTTCGGCTTTGCTCGGATGTGGGATTGGCCAAAAATAAGACTTCTCCAAAAGCTGGCTCCGCCTCGAAGGTCAGACGTCGTAGCGATGTAGAGCAGCCATTGGCAATGTCCGCATTTCTCCTTCAGGTGGTTGGCAGGCCTCGGTGAGGTTTCAGCGAAATATCGCTCCAGAAGCAAGGAGTGCACGCAACCTTTTTCAGAGGCACACCACTTTGTCGGTCACATTCACACAAGGCATTTGTTTCACGAAACCTAGTTTTGTAACACAAGATTCACCTACAAAATGCATTGTGAATAGACTTTTATACAGAGGTATGACTTATGGTGATTCACACTCTGGAGAAGACCAAGTATGTCATAGAGGTGTGAGGAGGAAATGCCATGAAAAGGAGGAGCTGGTTCAGAAAATCCGAGCGAGCATTCGCACGACCGAGTAGCACGTAGTTGAGTCGGTAAGGGGTTAGTCTCCGCTAATGTTTCTGCGACCTTTGGTGGCTTACCGAACAAAAGGCAGGGGGAAAAAAAAAGAAAAGAAAGGCACTGCCCAGATCAATGCTGCCAGCCACACTTCTTCCCGAAAAAGGGGGAGGAGGGGGGGGGAGGAGGAGGAGGAGGAGACTGGTTGCTCCGACAAGAAAATGAAATATTCTGTGGGTCGGTCTCAGGTTCTCCGCGGCTCCCTGTGGGTGACTAGCGAACATGCGTGACACGGCACACGTAACCTCAAATCTTGACGTTTAATCCACTCCTTGCAGAAAAGGTCCGTTGTGCGAGTACACCATGCATACCGACTTTTTCGTGAAAACGGTTGTTTATAGGAGGGGGTGCGACTTGCATAGTACTTCGACCGGAAAACGGAATGCTTTCTCGCTACATTGCATTCAACGGTGACAACAGTGATGCCACTTACACCAGCGTCTTCGTTCCTCTTCCCCAAGAGAAGTCGACCCGGCGCCGAGTGTTGTGGCGTCTGTTCCTGGCGGTAATTGTGGGCCTGTGCCGTCGTTGCAGGCAGCGTAGGCAGGCGGAGCACCTCTTTTTCAGAGCGCCCCAAGGAGGCCTTGCGGCGGGGGGCACTGATGAAAATGCTGCAGCAAAACGCCCTCACCCTGCCCCTTTTCATCAGCAAGGAGGACGAGAAGCCGCCGCCACTTTGCGGTGCCGTTCCGGCCGAGCCCAACTACGTCGCCAAGGTACGTTTGTCTCAACGGGAGCCCAAAACAGTGTTCTTTCACCCAAATTAGTAGCTTATAATATGTTGACAGTGTGGTTTGTGTTAAAATGGCCTGGGAAGTATTTGTGACCTTGGCTGGCAGCCCACCTACTAGATCGGCATGGTGTGCCGTCTTGACGGGACCCTGAAGAGATCTCATTTCAATTGGTTATCTCGCTTCAGTAAGTTGCAACAATGTTTTGTCATAAAGGCACCAGGGAAATGTTAGAGTGCGACGTTATAGGCCAAGTCCGTCTTCAACGTGCATTGCCTCGATGGTACCTTGAAGTGATTTTCTTTCACTTTGGCTAGTAGCTTAATTACATTTCCACTGTGTTTTGTTCTAAAGGAGTCGGGGAACTATTTGTGAGTTTCGCGAGTAGCCTAACTATTTTGCCGAAGTAGGTTATCTTATAGGGGCCATGAAATTAATTTCTCACTTTCATTAAGCTCAACTCTCTTGCCATGGCACGCTGCCGCAATAGGACAATGAAGCAGTTTTGTTTACTTGGGCTAACTAGTTTAAATACATTGCCAAGTTTTTTTGCTCTAAGGGGCCAAGAAATCATCTGTGACCTTTGCGAGTAGCCCAACTATGTTGCCAAGGTATGCCATCTTTAATTGGGCCGAATTGGCTCGTTCCTCTAGTTTCTGCACAGTGTACACATCGCTTGCTATAGTAGTGCGGAACGCCACTAGGGAGTTGAAACCAAAATGGAACCACCCGTCGGTGCCAAGCACATGCAGTGATCCTTTGTTTCCCATTGGAATGGAAGCAATGCCAAGGATATTCATTCCAATCTGGGAGCATTGTTCAGGGACAACACCCAAGTTTACGAAACTGTGGTTAAATGGTGCTGACGCTTCCAGTGTGGCCAAACAAGAGGAAAGCATTTTAAGGACGATGACTAAGTGATTGCTGAAGCGTAGCGATTCTAGAACACTCGAAAGGAGGAGTTCTAGAACAATGACCTCCGGCATGTGGTCCATCGCTGGCAAAAGTGGGTAACGTGTGGTGGTGAACATGTAGAGAAAGTCTTAACTCGTACTCGAGTTTGATTGCTTAATCTCTATTATTTCGTGACAATAATACAAACTTTATGAATGCCCCTCGTATTTTGAAAAACGTAGTGAAAGACGCAAAGCATGCGGGTGAGCGTCTCTGCCGTCGGCCCGTGGACGTGACACTGCGAGATGTGCTCAAGACGGCAACCAGTGCGACGATGCCGGAGAAAACCTGCGCAATCCTCAAAAAAAAAGTTTTTGGCCCGCGTGACTTTTGAGTTTTGCACCCCTAAACTAAAGCGTCGTGACGTTATTGGCATGAACGAGTCGTCTGCTAATGACACCACTTTTGCTATAATCAGAAAGAACGGCAGGTTGCGTCTTCTGAACGCCTCGCCTTCAGCATGCACGCGTTGCCTTTCACCGTGCCTTGGCTGCGCGCGTGCGTCTCCAACTGGTCCGTTTATTGCATCCAAAAAGAAAGTGGTCCCTCGATTTCTGCTCGATGACGTCGTGCAAGTGTCGCACTGTCGCGATCGCGATCCTGGCGGTGTCACGGCAGGGGATGTGGCAAACGCATTTTCTGCCGCAGATAGCCCTCCAGCTTGGCAGTTCACGGAAGCTTTGGCAGCCGGGACGCCGTGACGACACTCGCGTTTGCTCGTGCTTTTTGCCGCGACTTCCACGACCAACCGCCTGGAATGCGATATCCAACAGCATGATGCTCCGGCTTTTGTGACGTCATTTGTTGCCACTTCGGGAGTACTTTCGACACATAGGCGGAAATAGTACGCTAAGCATACCAATTTTTTTTGTTTTTGCGCTGCGCACGCTACAACGGGCGGGGAGGGGACTACATACGTCGAAATTTTAATACGAAACAATGCTTCTACTAAGGAAATACAGAGAAAACTTTACGAACATACCTTTCTAAAAATACTACTATACGTTCAAACTTGAATTTTTTTTCCTAATTTGGTAATGTCTATGGCTTCCCTTGAGCTTTTTGACTGCCATGTTTTCTTTGCCGGTGCATTCCCCGTGCCGCACTTTTTCCTTCTGTGTGGTGACGCGGTAGCAAGTTTTATAAAATATGTTTACTCGTTTAAGACATTTACCTACGAGCACAACATAAGTCAATGTCTATGTGTACCTTTAACCTAAGACATCAGTCTCGTGCCATACTTTTTGGGACGCGGCTCTCTGCAAAAATGGTACTTCGATCTTACAGCTCGAGGGCACCCGTTTTGAGCGGCCTTGTTCGGCGCTTTCTTTATTCGGAACTGTAGCCTCCTCATTTTCACAGCTGTTAGATTTTGAGTTCTCGTAGATCCCAGAGTTTGCCACGGAGCGAAAGGTTGAATGGCAGATTCGCAATTCTGCAGCAATGGAGAAGCAAACCGAAACAGAAGTCTCCTAAACAAAAAAGTACACTTACCGAAAACAAACGAGTCAGGCACAAAATTAAACCATGTATAACGAGTATACTTGTCACTTCGAGGGTTAAAGGGAGGCACACCCTTGAGGGTCTACGTTTTAAGTACTAGTGCTATTTCAATGAAATTGTCGTGGTATACTAGGCATGCAAACTTCGGAGGCTACACCACCTTTCAGCTGGAAAGGTAAATTTTTGGCCAAGTTACAGCCTCATATGGCAAACATATTATACAACTAGTAGTGCCCAGGGAAGAAAACTGTCGTTACAAAACAGTACCAAAATGTCGCAATTTGTTTGCTTGGATATGAGGATGAGTGACTACACTAATCGGTAATGGGTTTCAAATTATTTTCAAGTGCCATATTTAGCAAAAAAAGTAAACTTCGAAAAGGTTTTTTTTAAATTTTTTTTTTACTGTTACAAAAGTTGACATTTTCTCACTAAAGAAATAGCAATCTTAAAAAAATAAGCACATGGTCGAGTTCTCCGGTAAATTTCAATCCAGAAAAACCGCACGGTAGTTACGAAGGTACTTTAGTCATTGAACTATAGTTTTTGAGCAATGAAAAAATGGTCAAAACATGAACCTGAGGAAAACGCGTTAGAAAATCTATATTGTGTTCCACTTTAGATGGCACTTGCCACTTGACCTGAAATGCTCCAGGAGCATACGTCAGTTTCTCCTCTGCATTGTCCTTCTGTGCTTTGGCCACAGCTTCCATCGTTTGTCTTGCGCCATGCCTCGGAGGGCTCGAGTGCCTTCACTAGGGCCGTTGCAACCTTTGTCCAAGTGACCTTCACGGCCTGTGATATCTGGTTGCTCCCTGGCTCAGTGCCCATCTCCAAAAGAACTTTCTCAAAGCCTCGAGGACCCAGGTTGAAGACTGCAAGGTACAGCACACTCGACAGCACTTAGAAAAGCGACCTTTGGGCACCTTTTCCAAATCAAGGTGTCGAAAGAATCATTCGCGTTATGGGTTTTTATCTGGGAACATCTTTCAATGAAATCCCTCCATGACAGGCCGTTGTACAAGAGAACTAGCTCCTTCGCTATCTCCTCAAAGAAGGCTGGCTTATGTGGCCGAGATGCTGGTGATTTTCCCGCTTCTTCAAGAGTCTTGCTTCGGTTCAATCGGCACCTAAAGTCCATCCCAGTGGAACAAGCGATATGAATTGGCTTCTCGGTGAAGTATGAATGCAGGAGACTGGTGTACACTCCACGCCGCATGGAGTCACGTGGCAGGTTTGAGCGAGGTGTGGCCAATAAGAGAGCGTGCAGCGTTTTCTATGGGGTTTCACGCTTGGTGCGCACAATGTCTCGCAAGAAGCTCTATACCGAAAGAAGGGGGGTTAAACACTCTTTCCAATGAGGGGTGCCTGTCTGTGCTAGCCCTAGTGAACGCGGATCAAGCGCGCTTTGAGAATGGCGAATTTGTGCGACCACGAGTGTTTTTACGAAGCACGCTTGGCCGCCGGTACGTCAAAAATAATTTATTTCAAAGTAAATACTTTATCTACAAAAATAAACCTTTTTGACAGCATTCTTCAGGATGACATATGACTATGACTTTTTCAAAAAATCGTCATTTTAATAAAACATATAAAATAGCGCAAAAAAGACAAGGACAAGAAGTATACAGGACAGGCGCTAAGGCCGTGCAAGGAAAAATGTCTTTGCGGGAAAGTTTACAAACGTTCTGCCACGCCCACAGGTCGGTGACATGGTGGCCGCCCTAGCGCGCGGACCCGATGACGACGAGAACTGGATCCTGGCCGAGGTGCTGCATTACAACCACGGCAGCTGCAAGTACGATGTGGACGACATCGACGAGGAGCAGAAGGAGCGCCACACCCTCAGCCGGCGACGGGTGGTGCCCCTGCCCCTGCTCAGGGCCAACCCCACCACAGATCCCGGCGCCCTGTTCCCCAAGGGGGCCCTGGTCATGGCCCTGTACCCGCAGACGACATGCTTCTACCGCGCGCTGGTCCATGAGCCGCCCGGCGGACCCCAAGAAGACTACCTGGTGCTCTTCGAGGACTCGTCATATCCGGAGGGCTACTCGCCGCCGCTCGCGGTGGCGCAGCGCTACGTCATCTGCTGCAAGGAAATGCGGAAGAAGTGAAGGGCCTCTGCGTCGGTGCGCATTGGGTGCAAAACGGTGTAATCCAGTGTCAGGTGTGCGTTGGTGCGTCAAGGGCTGTTCACGCAAGACGCTGCCCGTCGCTACATTGTCCGCTGCAAGACATGGAAGAAGTGAGGGTGACGGTTTCGTTTGGTGCCAGATGTGTGGTACACATAGAGGGGGCGTCCCCGGAGGGTACTTTTTGCTGCGACTTTGTGTCGTTCATGATTTCTAGCGGAAGGGAGCGTAATTTTTCTTCCACTTCCAGTCTGTTTTGGGTATACTTTTGACGGAGAGTAGGCGTCCGCGTGCCTCTGCCTGGAGCCAGGCCCCAACAGACCCCGGCGACGGCTCAGTATCTGCAGACAACGTGCGTATACGGCATGCCGGTGTACAAGCTGCCTGGCGGTTTAGTGCTCTTCCAGGCCTCGCTGCTGCTTGCAGTACATCATCTGCTGCAAGGAGACGCAAAAGAAGTGAGGGCCAACCGCAGCTGCCTGCGTGTCGCGTTGGTGCGGGTTTGACGCGGAACGGTTTTGCTTCCTGGTCTACGATCGCATGGTATGCGCCAGAAGTTGAGGGACGTGACTGAGCCTCAACGGACTTACCACTGCGACAGGTTGACAAATCCCACTCTATTTTCGGGGTTGTGGGGATCTATGTTTGCAGGCCACACCTCCAAGATAGTAAAGCCGTAGCGCTGAAGTTTCGGTGCCACCCAAAGAAGGCAGAGGCTTTTTTGGGGCGATGCCTAAAGTTTGGCACTGTTGTTCAGGAGGTGTTGTCGCAGGTGCCTGTGGTTTTGTTGTGTTCCAGAATTGAACTCGAGTGAACTGGGACAGCTTGGCTGTAGAGTTTGCAAGGTTGCACAATCTTGCACCGATATAAAATATTTGGCACCGGATGTCTCAGTTTTTTTTCGTGGATTTCGCCAAGAGCGATCTTGTGGGGAAGCCGGTCGTAGGAGCTGTGGTTGCACCAGAGGCGATCATGATACCAGTAAAAAACATAACAAGCTGAATGGCTCAAGGAGCATTTCTTCATTTTCTGCTGCAAGACAGGCAGTGAATGTCATTTCGCATTCTATAGTACTGCTCAGAGACAAGCCCATATGCTCCAAGAAATTTTTAACGGCAGTGCTTTGCCGAATACTGGCAAGATTTGCACTGGGGTTTTTGAGAACGAGTGGCATGCTTCAAGCAATTACGTGTGAAATTACCAAGTGTCGCATACACATTAGATTTGCTTTATCTGGTTCCTTGAACCAGATCTGAACCTGTCCGAGACCAGATCTGAGATGAGCCAGTGTCTATCGAATACCTCCTTCAGTTTACAGTAAGATTCTGTTTATGTGCAGCCCCCATAAATAAGAGCTTCCCAGAAAAGTGGAACTGTGCAAAATATTATCTAGTTCCCTTGGGCTCTACTTCCAAGATTTAGCTTCATTTACATCTGACCCTACATGGCCCCAATCGAAATTAGCAGCTGCAATATGCTTATGATGGGCTTTTCAGTAACATTTACCAATGCTAGAAATATGCACACATACACACACATTAAAGTACATTCAGACATTTGAAGGCTTTCAACTGAAGTTCCATTCAAAGCAAGCAAGTGCAAGTAACTGCAGTACATTAGTAACAATCAGGGATGGGCAAATTACATGCAAATATGTATTGAAATACAAATACAAAATACATCGTCAAAAATGTATTTAATTACAAATCTAATTGCATTTTCAAAAAAGCATTTAAGTACAAGATACAAATACAACTAAATGTATTTGGTCTCCTCCAAATGCTTTTCCAAATACATTCCTCAAAATTTGCGTCAGCGACTTCAGGGCACCTGCAACGGGTTTCTCGCTATCTCATTTTAATTTTGCATCGCACACTCGGGAGTTAGTGTGCGAGGCTCTAGTAACGTAATAAAAATATAATAAAAAGAAATGTAATCAGCTTGGAAGTAATAGGTGAAAAAGGTACAGAGCTTCAAGTAGCTTTTTTTGTCGATTACATTTTGGTATAGACCAACAAAGAACCGAGACGACCAAGACGCGCAGCACTAGCTAGAGAATGTTTTATTGTTGCAACTCGCACCAGTTACGAAAATCTGGACAACCCGCGCATTTAGAATGTTCCAGGCAAAAATATGGATGGAAATCAGGCTGGAAAGCGTCGCAAGTTGTCGCAGGCACTTATTTAGCCAGTCTGCCTGTGAATGTCGATTTCGTCACCATTCTTGCCCTGGACTAGCACTGTAATCACAAAGTCACTAAAGGCTGGTGCTTGATTGAGAGACACTGCATTCGGTGCAGAACATAGTTTTCTTCCTCCTCTGGTGAGTGACAATAAATTTGAGGGATGTATTTTCGCCCACAAAATTGTATTTGAAATACCCACGTTTTAGTATTTAAATACCCACATCAAGTACATTACCCAATTTGTAATTAAATACAAATGCAAAATAAACAAAGTATCTGAAATACGTATTTAAAATACTTGTATTTATTTGAAATACTGCCCATCCCTGGCTAACAATGAATATGTACTACTTTATACAGATCTGTTTGTTCCCTACCATTTCTTTTCCCAGTGTCTGCATTTTTTTCACCCATTCTAGGGTTTACCATCAAGTTCAATGTACAATATGCCAGCTCGATGCATTACAGACACGATTTACATATGTTGCGGTACCCCTCGGCCCGCGGTGGAGGGGTACTGCGTCTTGACAACTGAAAAAAAGGTTGCCGGTTCGACGCCAGCCTAACGTTACTAAAACACTCGGTTGGGAAACTCTCCCTTGAAACCTGGACCGCTGGCGTCCACCGAGACCGAGCTAAATAAAATAACGCCACCCTTTAGCGACGAGTTGAAACCTGAAATTTACTTTATATGGCTACTGCTAGAGTCGCTGAATGTTTCTAGTGTGCTGAACATATCACTGTGGTCACCATGAGCTTTTAGAAAGCATGTTTCTTTGTAAAAAGAAGTGAAAAGTCTTTGTAAGAACTTTTATTGGAGACTATTACAAAATGACGGGAGTGCAATGTTTGTGCACAATTTCAGTTTACAGGGTTTTGCAGCCCAAATATTTTTTCACACAGCCATGTCTCACCAGTGTCTTTAAGTAGCACGTCCCGACCTGGGTGCATCCAAACTTCTGTAAATATCTGCGGCGCGTCTGCTTGGGGGACAGGTTGGCGGCTCTCCTTTCCACCAGGCACGTAGCCAGGATTTTGGTTTGGGGGGGACCCGCCCATGACAAAATGCTGTATGAGAGGGAGGGGGGAGAGGAGGTCCCAGCAAAATGAAAGATTTCAGAAGGGGCCCGGGCCCCATGAGTCTCCCCCCTGGCTATGTGCCTGCCTTCCACTGTATACGTTTCAACACCAAATGAAGCCAAAATAGCAGTCAAGGTGGACGCTATCGAATGCGATACTCTTGAATAAAAAGAATCCGTGCAGTTCCCCAAATGGCCGCTGCAGTAGAAATGGCGGCGTTGCAATCACCATTAGTTGGGTTCTCGATTATGCATCAGTGCCACTTTTTCAAAGTAGGCTTTGGGGTAGTTTTCCAACCGAGTTGTTCTAGTAACGTTGATGCCAGCCGAGGGACAAGAGCGAAAAGTCTTTTTGGAGGAATATAGTGCCTCTGCCAATTCTGGCACAAGTAACGCCATCTCGTGGTCCGGTGGCAAACCGTGGGTTTCGGTACCTTTCGTGTCGCCGGTTTTCGTACCTTTAGTGTCAAGTTTTCGCTCAAGGACTTTGAAGGTCAACTGAACGACGAGACATTTAAGGCTTTTGCCTTAATAAGCTAGTATCCTTGGGTCCGCCGCCACAGTCATGCAAAAATGGTAGCGCACTTGTACAGTCCTATTACTGGGAGCAGAACTCCCGGTAATAGTTCCTCAGTAACCACAGCAAGGGGAATCCTTCGGCACAGGAAAAGGGACAAAACCAAGGACGTCATGGAGGTTATTTTTTGCTTGTTTTTGTAATTTTCAGATGCCTATAACATAAAATGAAGCCAATTTCGAGAAAAGAAAAAGTTCATGAAGTTACTACACTCAGTGCACTCAGGTTCGGTGCAAATGAAGAAGCAGTAAAAAAGTCCTTTAAAGTGCTTCATTTTTCTGAAGTGGATTCTTCCTAGTTGCTATAAATTTACAAACTAAAATGATAACCAATTACCGTAATATCCCGAGTCATCGCCCATCCCCGAGCCATCGCCCACCCCATTTTTTGGGCCAATATCGATTTCCGAAAAACACCGAGTCATCGCCCACCCCTTCAAATACCCCAGCGCGGACTCGGCGATCCGCGAACACTCATCCTACCCGAATGACGCGGCCGCGGACCTTATAGTTGGAGGACGTTCGTGACAAAGTAAAACGAAGGAGGGAAAGACACTTCTTTTTGTTTACGAATTTCCTCCGTGAGCGACCCCAAAGTGGTCGTGTATCCGTGCGAAAAGAAAACGATGGAGATAACAAAATAAAAAGTAACCGCGGAGTGTTAGGTCAAAGTCTGTCTCCGCCGAAGTAAGGTCACCGCGAACCCGCTCCTTCTTCCCGCCCGTCGCGACCGCGGTTGTGCAATATTTTAGGCAAAGCCAACGCGTAAATAAAGCTTTTCTGGGACGCCCCACAAAGACGTTTGCAGAGCGTCCCAACCGTTCATTGATAGCCCGCCGTGCACGGACGCACGTATGTACGCACCAAACAAGAAAGTTGCGCAAGAGCTTGCAATTGACAAGGCGCCCGACTTGGCCCGACGCCAAAGTATTTGCCAACGCGACCGCGGGCTTTCCCGCTTTCCCAGCATTGCTCTTGGTCGCTTCTTTGGTCCGTCCGCTCGCTCGTTGCACCTGGTCGGTTTTTCTATTTTCTTGTAACTTTTCTTTCTTTTTTTTTTACTAACTAGGAGAACATAGTGGTGACATTCTTTCACGGAACAAACGTTCGCGCTATATGCAGATCGGCGGTGTTTCTAGCGCGTATGCAAGTAACGGACTTCGCTATAGTAAAATATTCTTTCGTGAGCATTTTTTTCTATACAACAATGAAACTAAATCGAGTTTTGAGTTTGATGTATCTCTTGTGCATCAGCGCTAGATACGCAGAGAAAAATTTCCGCTTTTTTTCAAGTGTTTGTGCTCGCCCACCGAGACATGGCCCACCCCACTTTTTTAATGAATTTCAGGCGTAGGGGGGTGGGCGATGACTCGGGATATTACGGTACTAGCCTAATTTAACCAAGCATTAATATTCCCGAGTAGGCCCTCGAGTAGACTAATGACTTTTTTTTATATGATGCTGCCTTTTTGGCAGCAATCATTTGGCAAATGTTCCGTGGAAAACCCTGTACATATACTATGTTATGGTTATGAAGAAGGAATAAGCATACTAAACAAATGGAACAGATGCATTTTAAGTTACATTCTCAGAGTAAGTGAAAAAAGCATTTGTGCTCCTTACAATTTCTTCCTGCTGGGAGATTGCGAAGACATAAGGTGCACAAATGTCAAATTTCTTATCATAAAAAGATAGAAATGTGGAGTGAAAGCATGTATCTGCGAGGTAAGTATCAGCAGCTCGACATTTCACAAAATACACTTTATTTAAGTCCACATAAAATTCCTCATTGCAGGGACATTCACAAAGTCGAAGGCTGACCACCTAAGAAAAGGACTGGACTCGTTAGAACATTAAAATAATTCAGATGTCTTTATCGCAAGGCTAAAAAGCTAAAATGAGGGATAAACTTCAATTCCACCTCTTGTCAAACATAGTAAAACTAAAAAGAACTTGTGGCCCGGCCAAATATTTTTTTTAAAATGCAGGTATAAACTTAGCTTTCTTCAAATGCACATGTGTATGTATATATGAACTAAAAAAGGTAGCTAAACTTATCACTACTGCAATGTAAGACAAACACAATTACACTTCTTGTTGAGCAACCCTGCTGACAGGACCAAAATGTAAGTGAAAAATATGCATGCTTTTCACTTCAACTAAGGACATACTAACATGGTACATGATCATTTTCATTACATCCCAATTTGCCCATAAAATAAGACAACTGTTTTACACATAAAGCCAATGGTTCACAATTTGTTATAGACAATGTTTGTTCAAAACTGATCTATGCTGGGTTACTAAGCAAGAAGCTTCCGGACCACAAAATGCTCTGTAAACATGACTATTTTTTTTTTTTTGACAGTGGACTAACATGAGAGTGGACTGGACGTATATGATCTGCATCAGCGGATGCTTTGTCTGAACATTGTCGAGATGGACCGTGCTTGGAGCTTCTCCTGTTTCTTTTTGGTTGGATCTTTGGCGAAGCAGTTCCAAATGCGAAGAGTCTCGTCTGCTCCGGCCGATGCGACCATGGTGCCGTCGGGACTTAGGCTTGTGTTGAGGATGCGTGCGGTGTGCCCTGAACAAAGAGCGCATGTAAACATAAAAAAAACATGAAATTTTCTGCTACATCTAGAGGGGAAACCGAATTGACCCACAGGTCTCGTAATGCCAATTTTTCAGCTAAATTTAGCAGGGAAACCAAATTGACAATTAGGTCAAGTGACACAAGTTGTCCTGCCAACTTTACCGAGAAACTCGTCCATTCAAAGCACTACGGTCGACAAAACAGGGCTCATTTGCAAAATCAAAGACCATTGATATCAGTGTGTTCACGAGCCTTATCGGCCACATTTTAGCAGCATGCACCATACGCCAAAACAGGGTTGACGAACTGCGTCGTTGTAGGTGTGGCGCACTACGCCCACATACAGTGCACACCACCGCGTTGCACTGTTGCACCAGCCTGAAGCAAAAAATGCAAAAAGGTAAAGGGAACAGCGCTTGCCTGTGAGGTCGGCGACTCGATTCATGGACGGGTACTTCCAAATGATGAGTTCGTGCTTTGCAAATCCGTGACCCGAAATGATCTCCTTGTGCTCTTCAGACCAGAGCAGCGACGAGACCTGGGCAAAGAAAACGGTGGCGAGGGCGGCGTTATCGAATTGACAAAAATACAAAGATTGGCAGCAAGTTTGCACGATTTATGGAATTCTTACTAAAAGAACAATCGTTGAACGTTTATTTCAGAGAGTAAACCAGACACTGTTCAATAACTTCCCCACTAAATTCAGGAAGAAAATTGATGTCACATCGCCCGAGAAGGCGACCACATCAAATCACGAGACTCTTTCTCTCAAAATTTACCGAAAAAGATGCAACGTGACCCTACACCACGGTGTGAATTCGTGAGGTTGCACAACACCGTGAAGAAACGGGACATCAATCTATCCTAAAATTAGCGCCGAATGTTTTTGTTCGGTAAGCAAAGGTCGTGCGAAAGTCAAATTTGGGAGTTTTACGTGCCAAACCTACGACGGGCATTTGGCACGCCTCAGCGGAGGACTGAGGATTAATTTCGACGACCTGGGGATCTTTTGACGTGCAACCGAAAGCTCAGTTACCACGGCGCCTTCTCCGCAATAAGCCCAAGGTCGTGCGAAGTGGTAACTTCACGTCGCAATGTTCGAGTTGCAGGGTTGGTTGACAACGATTTGCCCGCCATATTTGGCGACAAAGTGCACAAACGGATGACCCGATAGATATTAGAGATTAGGAAGTTATTGAAAAAGCGTTACAAACTTTAATAATATTATTTGGAATTAAGACGCTACAGCGTGGGGTGCAAAGTGTCGAAGGCTCCATGTGTGAGCCTTAAACGCGAGACATTCCGGGGAAGTAAATGCATACCTGCGAGGTTGTGTCAATGAAGTTGAGCTGGCTTCCGAGGTTGCAGCTCCAGAAGCGGATGCAACGGTCAGCAGTTCCGCCTCCGGATGCTAGCAGGCTGGACTGCCAGGGGCACCAGGCAAGTGCCTAAGGATTCAAACGAGACATAAGCCATCTCTCTGCTTGCTTCTGCACCTTAAAAAACCTTGACCAATAACCCCCCCCCCCCCCCTACACCCAAAAATAAAAAAAATAAAAATTCCAATATATATATATATCTATATCTATATATATATCTATATATATATATCTATATCTATATATATCTATATATCTATATATCTATATATATATATCCATATATATATATATATATATATAGAAATAGTGCCTATGACCATTTAGCTAAGGCAGGGCAAACAAAACACACAAAAAAAACAGCATAAGAGCAATGCAAGCAATGAATCAAAAATTATAGGTCATTGCAGCGGACAAAGTTGCCAAATCATTGTTGCAAATGATGCCATAGTAGATATGTTTCTAACACTCTGGCAAACTGTTTCACTCATCCACCTACAGAACATCGTCAGGCGATGAAGTGTGAACAAACTGGTGGAAAACCAAAGAAAAAAAAAGGTAAGTTTACACAATGCCTTGGTCGACTCAAAGGGCCCCTGAAGAGAAATAAAAACTTTGGTGTCAAACGTGTCAAGAAATTATTTTTAGAGCAATTTTGACGGCGAGAGATTTATTTGAGACCATGACCATGACGTCCATGACGTCACAGAATGGTCATTCGGTCAACGAGATGGTAATTCGCTCTTTCCACCCCTGCACGAAGGCAAAGCCAACCCACCTTTCCTCCATGTGCCCGAAATGCCGAAAAAGAAAACAAGTGGAAGGGAGGTGACTACAAACTAAATTGCGTTTTGCACCGTCAATATTGCTCTAAAATTTTTTTTTTTTTTTTTTTTTTCGCAAAAAATTGTGTTTTTTACATGCATGTCCCTGCCAGACTGTTTAAAAATCTTTCTTTTAAGGTTTTTTTTAAATGAACCTAAAGCACTAATAAATATCTCGCGAAGTGATTTGAGGCAAAATAAGTGTGCATTATAGACAAAGAAAAAAACGGGGCGGTGTTTCTGTGGTGCTTTGCGAATGCGACATCATTTTGATGTTCCTTATACGAGGGCCATGTTCTGCCGATTATATTGAAACCAACCTCGTTGCCTCACTCGACCCTTGGTCGTAGCAGAACTAGCCCCCTTGCCTCAGTCCGTAGCCAGATGCTGTTCTCCCTTTTCCGGCATCTTATTGGCACGGCAAACAGATTTAGATCATTTTTGACACTGAAGTCATTTTTTGAAAAAGGTTGTTTTTGATCTTATATTGTTTAAAATGTGTTTGTTACCACATATACCAAGTCCTATACTGAAAAACCGCCTATTCATTTCAGGGCAATAGAAAAAACATGTGGACTTTTTTCTCGCAAACTACACTGTGAGGACAAATGAAAGCCCTAAAATATGCGCAGATTCCGAACGATTTTGTTATAACTAGTGTTGAAGAGAGTCTGATAGGTACACATTCAGAAAAGACTCCTCATTTTCTCCGCGGGCAAAAGCCATCGCTTTTAATTCGCCGACAAGTGCCCTTCATCGAACACGCCGGGTCATCATAAGTGTTAACGCGCACCTTAACGGCCGCCTGGTGCTCCACGAAGGTGTGCAGCGGGGTGACGCTGCCGTGGCTCATGGAGTCCGGCCAGACGTGCACCAGGTTGTCATTGCCGCCGCTGGCCAGCCAGCGCCCGTCATGGGACCAGCGCAGGCCGCACACCTCCTGCTGGTGGGCGCACAGCGTGCCCACGTGGTGATCCACCACCCGCACGTCGTGGTGGTGCACCCGGCCAGAGCGGGAGCCGCTCGACAGCGTGTGGACGTTCCAGCTCAGCGAGCAGATGCGCGAGGCGTGGCCCGTCAACGTGCGGAGGCGCTTCTGCTGCGCGACGTCCCAGAGCTGCACCTGGAGTCGCGGAGTAGAGTGACTGGAATGCAACTCGCTGTAAAATACTGCGGAAGCGCCCACTTTGTTCAAGTGCCCACTATTAACGTTACCGCGGAAGCCGCGAATACCGACGTAGCACACGTTTGCAATCTCTGTGGTGGAACTGACAAGTGGCGATTTGGAGCAGCTCTTGTAGCGGGGAGAAATGGGTTTTGGAGCAGACAATTTTGAGCTTCTATGTCAGAAAATTTTATACAATCTCTTTGAAAGTTAGCATGTAGAAAAAGTGCAGTTGTTGGAGTGTTGGGAGACTAAAGTGTCATACCTTCAGGGGACCTGGCCACTACAGATATTTATTTATTGAAAAATCATATGGTGGTAATTTTGCAGGTACCTTAATTAACCTATTAGGAGTACCGATGACGTCTTCGGTCCGCATTTGATGTAAAAAATGTTTTTGGCTACTTTGCAGGGTTTGGATCACCGTGGCGTAATTGTCACGAGTTAGACATCAAACGGACACTTTTGTTTTGAATGTCTCCTGCTGCTCTCGCTTTTATTCCCCCTGCTACCGTTCAAAGAGCAGCTATGTGGAGCACATAGCTACTCCAACCAATCATAATGAATAGTGCTAGTTATTCATTAGGATTGATGTCAGCACCGTTTTGCACATAAACTGACAACTCTTTATTAGGCATGTGCCAGTAATGGATTTTGGGTTCGAAGCAAAGTCGAAGCGAATATTGGTTTTGGCCGAATATTTTTTAACCGGATAATGAATAGTTGTTGCACCTTTCTCTCTGCCTTTCCCTCCTGTTACACCATGGTTAATCGCAAATTCAGCCGAACTCGCGAAGGTTGTTTCCAAGCTTCTAATAGCCCACTTATGAGCCTTGTTAAATTTAATCTAGCTATATTTATAGACTGTCCAATACCTACATTGGGATGGCAAGTAAATGACAGATTTTACATAAAATTAAACCTATAGAGGAACCCAGCCATACCTAATTCACGAAATTTCAAAGTCTCGCTATATGCAAAAATTCTTTGATTCCGAATTAAAAAGAAAAATAAACAAGCACAAATGATGAACACGGGTCATTTTGAAGATTTTACTGCAATGTGAATATCAACGATCACAACATATCCTGTTTATTTATGTACCAGGCGCGCGCGTATACCAGACCGACTTGCGACCAATCTCGTGGCATGCTTGGCTGCGGCGAAGAGAGTTGCAAGATTGCGGTCTCAGCTCTGCAGGTACTGCTTCTCCATAGTACAGCAGTGCTTGAGAAGCACACTTAAAGGGGTACTCTGGCGATTTCTTCATGGTCTCCGATTTTCTTGAAATATTGCTAAGCTCACCAACAAACATAGTTAAAATAGAATCTCAAATATTAGGTCAAAATATTTTTTTTTGCAAAGTTATTGAATTTACAGTTTTGGTCCTTAGTGTTTTTCAAAGTGATAGTCTACAGGCAACAACAAAAAAGTGACATCAGTGGAAGGCAGGGGTTCACTCTTTGGACTGTAGAATTTGTTCCCAATTGATTCGAAGCAGTTTCATAGTGTGCCGGTAATCGCTTGTTTCTGAAATATTCACGACTGCAACTTCTGGTCGTCACGATGCCTGCAGCAGACGACGAATGCAAGAAGTATGCCGTCTTTCACATGCTGGCCGGCCAAACCGGCGCCGTCGTTTGGATCATGTGAATAAAGACGGTATTCTGATATTGCATTCGTTTGAAATATAACGAGTTTCAGACACTTATAAGAATTCATAGTAGGGTCCGAGGCAAAATATGGTTTATCAAAATTCCGGGCGTCGATTGAGATGATCGTCTGCTAAAACATCTCAGTGCACCCGTGAGAAAAGCACTTCAAGCGATCGGTTGAGATCCCAAATTTTGTTTACGGACTCTCGCTATGCGAGGGTTCTTCGTACTACCTGGTTGTAACCATCGCTGCGATGGTTACTACCAAATCGCGATAGACATGCCTTGACAACCCCAATAATTGTAATTCACGACTTACCTCGATGGCGTACAACTTGTTTCTCATTTTGTTCTTAGCCCGAGACTGAGGCAGGAAAAGAGGAAAGTATCAAAGTAGAAGAAAAATGAACAGTCAAGGACACGTGAGACGTGTCCTCGACCGTTCCTTTTTCTTCTACTTTGAAACTTTCTTCTTTTCCTGCCTCAGTCTCGGGCTAAGAATAAAATGGGTAACATCCACCAGCTCGCCTACGCAATCATTACATTATCATTGTTTCTCATGCTGGCCTGCAATAAGCCGGTAATGTACTTCAGGTCGTCGTCGTAACTGATCTGCACGACGTGGTTTAATTTTATGGCATTTTCACCGCCCTAAACTAAGCTAAATTCTTCAAAGAAAAAAAAAAAAAAAAAGAACACGCACATTGCGGAGGCTTTTACGGCCGTGGCGATGCACTTTTTTTTGTCGCTTGTTTACCGACGCAATTCAATAAAGACGCCCGCTACAACAGAGGCCAGCAAATCTATTGTGTCGTCTGCTACGAAAGCAAAGCGGAGTGTAATACTTCAGAAATGGCTTTCATTGTTGCAATACGACGCCGAGACGACAAGAACATCTTCATAATTAGATATCAAGAAGCAGATTGTTCGTCCTGCCAGTTTGGAGCAAATGGCAAGGCGGTTCCACCACTGCAATTTGTGCCCAGCATTCTTTAGACAATCCACTACGCCTTTGTTATTTAGAAGGCACTGCTGCAATGCATCTTCCACTGGCATGTTCAGTGTCGTATGCCACCCATCTATCAAAAGCGGTACCGAAGCGGCAACAAACGACGTCGCAGGAGCCGGCGTCTCGTGCCGTCGGATGTCGCGATCGCCAGTCGGATAAGCGGTTTAAGCACTATGGCAAGAATGCTTGCAATTCTAGCGAGATGTTTCGATAGCTACTTTTACAGATTGGAGTTTTCGTTGCTACATGTTGAAATGCTTTACAAAGTAGAGATTAGGCCTGCCAATCTGACAGCGTCCTCTTTTCGTTGTTTATTGTCGTCTCAACTTTCCGTCAAACAAGCTGTGAAAGTGGGTTGGAGAAAAGTTAATTTTAGTGACCAGTAGTAGTATCTCACTGTGGTAATCAGGGCCTCAAGGAGAAAAATATGAATGCAGCGAAGCACTGGTGCACTTTTCAGGAGAGCGGAGCCGCAGAGTGCGGACGGTGAGGTGCTCGGCCAAGGAGAAACAAAATAAACAGATGCAACAAACGGGCAGCAGTTCTCTCCACAGGCAGTGAGCGGCAGAGAGCCACGGGGACGTTTCTTTCACTGCTCAATGCTTGCTCGTGCCGTGGCTTGCTTTATCTTTGCTTAATTTTTCCTTTGCCTTTTTTGTTCTTGTTTTATTACCACGGCGTGGCACCACTCGCAGAGCCACAAAGTGTGTTCCAATGGCAAGCCGGATAGTGCTGCATTGTGTGGTCTGCAGGCTCCTGCACCCCCTTGTTGAATGAATTCCAACGCTGGGAAGGGCTCCCGAGATAGGAAAGAACCCCTGCCCCAAGCACAAATTTGCCCACTGTTGTGACGCCAGAGTCGAATTTCTACTCAAAAAAGTTTAACCGGAGTCGTACCTGGTTCTCGGAGGTTCCGACGGCGAGATAAGATCCGTCGGCCGACCAGGACACTGAGCACAGGTATGCGTCCGGAGCCTGAAGCTCGAGGAGCTGATCCACGGAGCCTGTGCTCGCATTCCACAGGTACAGCTGCCCCTTGAGGCAGACTGCCAGCTGGTTCTTGGAAGACCAGTCGATCACGTTCAGGTCTAGGGTAGGAAAGAAAAAAAATATTGACATCACCGACAAGTTGTAGACTCCACAGCTACGGCTAGGGTTCTAAGCTTTTCGGTAGATACAGCGATGACCCCGAAAAGTAACCTTTAAACCAATTATATCAAAATCTAAAAAGAAAAAATATGAATTGGGGCAGGCATTGAATGAAGACCCCAAATTTCACAGAAAGAAATCTTCATCTACAACTCTATCCCTTTTTTTCGCCACTTTTTCCTATCGGTACAGGGATGTTTTCAAAGTCTACAGGTCAACTGTGTTTTTTGGAGGCGGGGGTAATCCTGCCGCTGTGTTCCGCTTCCTTCAACGTAAGCCCCAATAGACGGAGATTTCCTGCAGACATTAAAACGCAGAATCTGGAAGTAAAACCACCTTGATCCCATTGCATAAAGTCAGAATTAGGCAGACTGCGAACTTGATGGGTTGTTATTGTGGCGCAGCATAAATTTTTTTCGCCAACTTTGGCACATCGATCACTTGACGCAAACCCAACGATCATGTCGCATCACATACCTAGTGATGTGTTGTGACCTGCAATGTCAACTTATGTGGCCACGTGACATGTAATGTCACGGTTTAACGTGACACAGTGGCATTATGCTACTCAGTTACGAGACACCGACAAGCTACACAGAGGCAAGGTTACTAGACTAGATCAGTTGTGGAACTCCCGCAGAGAGGGGTACAGCCTTTCCCTCTCCCTCCAGCCCGCCTCCCGTCGTTTGAAGAGCCATCAAGAGTTTAGTTTCAAACCTGTATTCTATAGAGCAGTGGTTCTCAAATGGAGGTCCACGAAGGCATTCTAGGGGTTTTGCAAAGCCCCGACTCATCAGTGGGGGCCCAGCAATAAAAGTTGTCTTTTTTTAGAACGAGAAGAAAATCCTATGATTGGGCAAGTGTTCCCATGTGTATATTCATGAGAAAAGTCTACTTCACACTAGCCCTTAGTTTTAGCTATTTATTAAATCATTATCACAATTAATTCCTATACCTTTCCCTTTCCCCCACCATGAACAGGGTCCTCCATCACCTCCACTGATCCACAACAACTCCGCAAAATTTCAATGGTGAAAAACCACTACCATAGAGTGTGTTAAAGTGCTATCAAGACGCTCTGTCTCAAAACAGATGTATTTCATAGGATATGCTGCAGTCACGTAACAGAGTTAGTTTGATAAGTTCCCTAACTGAGATGATCCAATAATGGTGCATTGTGGCGAGGCACTGCGATGTCAAGCTACGTAGAGACATCCTTGACGTCTGTGCCCTCTTACTGCCAGGATGCAGATGACCCTCTGTTGAAAGCAGACGACCTGGTAGTCTTCATTCGACCGAGTAATTAGTCTGCTCGCTGCGTTTATCGGGAGACGACACCACAAGTTACAATAGTCACCAACTCTGTCGTCTGCACCGACATACACCAATGACCCTAGGACACATATGGTGGCCTTTCTTGCAAGAATAGAATTATACCTTGCAATTTTACAAGCCAAACATTACTAAAATACACAATCTAGAAAATTGAAAGAATGCTATGTGCAGATTTTAAAGACGAGGCCTCAGGATTTATGACAGACTATAATCGTGAAACTGCGATAATAACCCTGCAAAAATAAACAAAATAAACTTCACTGAATGCAGAATTTACTATGAAAAATATGAAGTTTGAGAATTAGGAACATTAGTTGTACTAACCGAGGTTTCTAGTTGCCAACATTTCAAATGTGATTTGGTGCAATAAATCTGCTTTATTTACCTTTTTGGTAGGATTAAAGCATATTGGTATACATTCTTTATGAACTCAACTAGCACTTAAAAAATCAGCAAGAAAAAAAAAAAGTGACAACATGAATAGAAGGTACACTTCATTGGCTGCTTGAACACTCCGATCATGTATGTATTTAATGTTATTAGCAAGCAGAAAGCAAAAAAGTACCACTCACAGAAGTCGTTGCAAATGTCGGGAGCATCGAGAACCCGCTCCGCCGTCCTAGGGATATATCTCGTTGCCTTCTTGGAAGACGTGGTCGGCTTCGAGGCGCTATACAAGACACGGCTTCCCACGTGACCTAGGCACAAACGACAAAAAGGAGATGAGAGCTTGCAACTTCTCTGGATTCAGAACATCCACACAAACAATTCCGTACAAGAACTATACATAATTATACTGGCAGCGTGAAAAAGTTTCTCGAACTTTAAACTGCTGGAATGAAATGCAAATTACACCAGATGTGGGAAAGTTCGGCAAAAATATGAATGGGTTCAAGTTTCCACTGCTCTTGTTTTCAATGCATTTCACAAGATTTCTAGGGCAGGCTTGACATACACCACAGCTCTATTAGTCTACACTGTAAATAGCGCCAACATCACCGATTCAGCGCAGACTGACCACAAAGCGATACTGTTCCACAACAGTGCCAATTTACGGTGCAGCATCAGCCCCTTTCTTGGTGTTGATTAAGTACTGCGACGTATGCTTGAACTGGTGTTTAACGGCTTGCGAAAACAGTACAAATAGTATCTCAACATTTTGCTGGACAAGTTAAAATAGGGCGTTAATTGAAGAATTCCAGATAAACTGCAGCAAAATGAATGCACATCATCAGTGATGCAAAATCGTCAGTCATTTTGGAGCATCGCTTCGAGCAGCCAAATGTCCATCCAGAGCATAAGTGCACACTTACTTTTCCTTCACACCACTGCAAATATAAAGACAAGATTCATCTGTTTGCCTGTCCAACATATGAATCGGGGATGGGCACTTGTCCGGACATCAATTTTACATATAAATGCCTTCTGCATATTATCCAAGATCTTACAAATTTGGAAATGGGTGCTCACCGTAATATCCCTAGGCATCGCCCACCCCTTTTTAAGCGAATATCGACACCCCTTCAAATACCCCAACACAGACTCCGTAGTCTGCGAACATTCATCCTAACCGAATGACGCAGCTGCGGACCTTACGGTTGGAGGACGTCTGACCAAATAAAATGAAGCAGGGAAAGACACTTTACTTCGTTACGCATTCCCTCCCCGATTTCCGCGAGCCTGAGGTCGGTGCACATGCGTGCAAAAGAAAAACGGTGGATATAACAAAGAAAAAATCTTGTTTTGCCTACAAAAAGCTTGTTCGAACCAAAAAAAAAAGAAAAATCGTGGAGGTAACACAAGCGTTTACCCATTCAGGGATCACGATGTCAGCAAACGCCCCATATTCTGGAATGTAGCTGCGGAGTGCAAGGTCAAAGTCCGTCTCCTCCGAAACGTTGAGACCACGGTTGGTTAGGTAGTGCAATGTTTGAGCCACAGCGAATGGGTAAATAAAGATTTGCTGTAACGCCGCACACAGAAGTTTGTAAAGCGTCCCATTTCGAGTTCCGTGTTCGTGGTGCCGTCCTTGTCATGCAGCAACGCCATCTCAACCCGCACTGATAGCAAGTCGCGCATGAACGCATGGATGCACGAAACAAGAAAGATGCACAAGAGCCTGCCCACGCCTTGCGATTGACAAGGTGCCCAATCTATCATACATACTAGTGAGTTTTATTCAGGAATTATGCGAAACCTCCCCCTCTGAAGGAGTGCATTCCCCTTAGCACGCGGGTGCACTGCAGCCAAGCAAGAGACGCAAAAGCGCAATGCCTACTCTACAGTTCTCACTTCACTGCAGCACACCAGTGCGCGGTGAGGTGCATTGAACAAAGCTAATTCACCTGCCAGAACAGACCATGGACATGAGAAACATTGCAAAACTTCCGAGTACTGTCAGAGTTTGATAAAAGATCATATCAAATAGTATGTTATTTTAGGCGATAATCGAAAGCCCTGATAACTCTCAAGTCTATTGTAACGATACGCTGGGGTGGCTACGCCCTATCTATTATATTTTCAGTATTAAGTGAAACCAAGTTGGCACAATGTAGGTGCTAAGTCCTCACATCTTAGAAAACTATATAGAAAACTATAACAGGATGTAGCCAGGTTTTACGATTGTGGACCGGAGAAGAAAAAGAGGATGGCAAGGTGAACAAGGTGCAACGTGTAGTGAGAAAGAGAGAGATCCTAGGTTGCGAGTGTGCGCGAGAGATTTTTGGTTGGACGAGACTGTTTGACTTTGGCTACGTCCCAAAGCGACTACACAGCGGCAACTGGACCCACCCCAGCGCACAGCAAGCTCCCGTCTTGTCTATGAAAACTACACCGGGCAAATTCATCAGGAGCGAGAGTGGCCGACGGTCAATGTTCCAAGGGAAGTTTGTCGGCAATCACGTACTCAACCTCCACGGTGACGCGAGTCTGGAACTGTCGGCCTAACACTGTGTTAAAGATTTTTTTTTTATTTGTTTATTATATTTTTTTTAATCTTTTATTTAGCTTTCTTTTTTCTCTTTGTAAATATATACTTATATGTTTATTAATTTCACCTGCAAGTCTCACCTCTCCTGATTTCATGCATGACCCCAATAGAATCCGACACCAGGTGAGCACTGTTTGATGCAGCAATCACATCATTGGGTACTCAATGCTCCTCTACTTCAGCAGTACTGTGAGTACCTTCTCTTACACATATTCAGTGTAGACAGTTATTCAGTTAAATTAACAAATCTTACAACATTGCAAGTATAATGAAACATGCCATTTTTGCCCACTAGAGTACCACCCTGAAGCAAGAGTGATAACTCAAGTGTTGTAGTGAAGTGCTATCAAAAATTGGCTGCAAAAACCACTATTGTTGGTTGTCTATGAATTACGAGAGCATTCATCCAGGACAACCTCAAGGATGACATCAAAGAAGTCATCTAGGATGACCTTTAGGACGACCTCTAGGGCAATCTCAAGGATGACCTTGAGAACGATGTCGAGGACGTCTAAAACATCCTCTAGGACGACATCAAAAACAACCTTTTGGACAATGTCAAGGTCCTTTGAAGAGAATGCAAATGTGAGCTGAAATGGTCTACTGCGTGTTAGGAGGCCAGAAACTCCAAGAAATCTGGGGGGGTTAGCTAAAGAATGCTATCGTATTAATACACAGTGGTATTCATTGACCACAAATGCCAAAACCACATCTGCCAGAAACTTATGCTGGCACTCCTGCCGGACATGCCAACACGGAAGAAATGCCAGTAAAACACAGACATTGCCAAATTACAATGGTATGTACAATATACGAATACCTCAAATACTTTCACCAATTATCACAACTTTTCATTAAAGTATGGTAAAGTAACCTCAAGCTAGCAACATGGGTGCAAGCATTTGAGATGCTAACGTAATAAAAAAAAAATTATATTTCATTCTAAACTGGCTTTTTTTAGCTATACATGGCTTGGCCATGAAGTCATTGCACCATGCTGGTGTCGTTCCTACTTCTCACAAAGGAAAACAAATTCGGCTGCAACAACAATGGCAGCTAATGTGACGCCAATGCCAACCATGAAATTGGGGAGAAGATCAATTCAGCGCACCCCTAGCAGCTTACTTGAAAACTACACCGCTGAGACAACACATATTTGTTTGCGCATCCAATGCAGCGCAAAGCTGACGTAGCCGAAAGCTATATCAGTTTTCAGCAATCTGTGCACCACACTTGGTCGAAGCGGACAATGTAAAGAATCCAGTCAACGGGCTTTGGGTTCGGTAAACAACGGGCCCTGAAAAACAAGCTGTACAAAGTGCCTCCTACATTCCAATCTCCTCGGCAATAGAGAAGCTCTACCGCACAGCAATCTTGAAGTGGTCATAGCCATTACCTTCAGGCGGGGCCGGCGCTTTGTCACTGTACGACATGATGCGGAAATTCGCCAGATCCGCATTTAGCTGCCCTTCCAACGCTGCTCGATACGCCGCATTTTCGCCGTCCTCGCTTGTGTTCTCTTTCTTGGTCAGCTGCAGAAAACGGCAGGAAAGAAAGTTGGGCTTGAGCGTACAAAAGCGGGAAAGCAATCACCATCCTCAATTCGCAAAAAAGATTTGTCATGTAGTCATGACTGGACATTTGGGAGGGTCAATTTTAATAATACAAAGAGAAAACTGCAGCTTTGCACAAGAACAGTCCGGCACGTCCCTGCCAAGCATAGAAACTAGAGCTGGCAAAGAAGGTCCCCCTTATGTGTCTATTTTCCATAAGACACAGTAATGTCTGCCTGGAAGTGGACACGATAGGGGGCAACACTGTCTTGTATGCAGCCTGCAGCCCCAGTAGAGTTATTCGGTATAAATTAACTTAAAATTCGCCTGGCTTGGATGCCCATGAGATGCCATTAACATGCGACAAGACTTGACGGGCTTTTTAATGCGAAGCACTTTCTATCGAATTAGAGTGGGGATATTGCCCGGTTAATATTAGCGAGGAAATTGTGATGCCATGTCACGTAATATTATGACGTCGCGCAGTTAGAACACCTGAACAAAAAAAGTCCGCGAGGGTTCCCACATGAAGCCATCCCTTTAAAACCGATCTGAGTCAACCCTAGATATCTAGGGTCGCTCCCCAGAGATCCACAAGTCATGGCCCTTCCCCGCAGAATGTACACCGCCACTTACGACGTAGTTGGCGAGCTCGAACTGCATTCTGTGGCGGTTGGGGATGAAGCGGTCTCCCCCATTGCCGGCCACGGGAGTCTTTCTGGGAGTCTTCTTTCGGCTTTGTTTGCCTGGAAAAATGTTTTACAAAATTAAAGGGCCAGTGCAATGATTTTAACGTTATAGGCTGACGTACAACCTCGGTTTTCTGCAAGGGAGATATTTGTTAGTGTTCCCCCTCTCCTAAGCTGCAAGGGGAGTCAAGTTGGGGCAAGGTAAAAAAGTGGAGAGGATACAAGAAAGGAGGAGGCCGGCAAAAGGGAAAAGCGCAAAGTGTATGTCGGTCTTTAAGCAAAATTTTCGCATTTTTTATAATGTGTATTTAGGGTCAAGTGAGAAAAAAATTGTGCCACCTTCCTGCTACTCCGCTGCATAATCACGAAGGAAAAACACTTATCATTTGCCAAACTGTAGCCGCGTGCGGCGGTTCTTACAGGAGCTACAATGGCATGTCACTGGGGGGGATATGCAAAAGTCAACAAAAGCTCTCCCTTTCCACTGCTAGGCTCGCAGGCAGCCCCGAGGCAAACAGTCCTTTGTGTCGATCGCTCGCCGCAACCTACGGTAACGCTAATTCTTGAAAAGTCGGCAGTGGCGGAGGAAGCTACTAGGGTCCCTGAGGAGAGAACCAGGTGGTCCTTCAGAGACGTCACTCGAAAGACAGCATGAAAGTTGAGGGGCGCTTTGAACTTCGATTTGCTTCATTTGATTCAATACCAATCAAGAATCGACGCAGTGCGGATGTGTTAATTCTTCAGGAAAGTTTTGAAGGTAAGTCCACATAGGCATCTATGCCACATACATATCAGTTGTGGTGTTCCGGATCATCCAGCTGTTCCGGTAAACTGCACTGACCAGTGCTCGCTATTATGCACTATTAACGATGTTCAAGATCTGGTAAAACGGATCCGAATTAGTCATGGCACATGGAAACGCAGATAAGGCAATGCAGTTAAGTGTGGGTTACAAACCACATTGCCACTTTTGAACAATGGAATAGAGGGCTGGAAGTGTTCAAGAGATGGGGGGATAAAAAAGATGGATTTCCGTTCCCTTCAACTGATTTTATTGCCAGAAATGTAGAGAAGGCAAAGAACGATCGCCGCCACCACTGCGCTGTCCCCCCTCTGGTCTGTTGGCACGGAATCAAACTTATTTCTGGATCGCGAATGCTGCAAGTTACAAATATAGTCATCAGAGTAAAGTAAAACTCTGCTCCAGAGGCACATACACCTTGATGCACGACACACCTTCAAAATCATCCAGACAACAATGATTCTCGATTGGTATCCAAGCTTGCAAAGGCAGAGACGCAGCACCTCGGCATGCCAAGGCATGTTCTTTGATGACGACGTGAGACTTGTATTCGACGAGTTGTGCCCGTTTTTTGCGGTGCTGCACTTTTGTAAAAACTTCTGTGTTCTCAAAGGCAAGTACGATCGTTTACACAAGGGTTTGAAAAACTTCGGTGATGACGGGGAACAAGCAGAAAATGTGTCTTTCAGCACAAAGCCGCCCGCCTCTGCAACGCTCGAAAAGGTCAACATCCGGTGTCTCAGAGATGGCCAATACGGAACACCCAATGGCTGCATTTGCGAAACGGTGAAGCGCGATCGAGCAATTGTCATAGAGACCAGTGTCCGACACGCTGATCTCTATGAAAATTCCTGGCTCGCACATCCCCGCTCTGCAAATGTGACCACCGGATGCCATCTTCGAGGTACCCGAGGTCAAACACCTTTTAAAGCGTTGCAGAGGCTGGGCAGCTGCATGCTGATAAGACATTTTTTTACTCGTTTGCCGTCATTTTTAAAATTTCACCTCATGTAAACAGTCGTGGCTACCTTTGAGAATGCAGGGAAATTTTTCATGAAAGCACAGCACCACAGGAAAAGGCAGAAATCTGTGAACACGAGACTCATAGTGTCATCAGAGGACAATTGGCACGCCGAGGTGCTGTGCCTCTGCCTTCGCATGCTTGGATACCAATCAAGAATCGACGCCATATAAATGATTCCCGACGGTGTGTCGTGCATATTATTTCAATCTGATGATGCATTTATAACTTGCAGCACTCGTGGGCCAGAAACGAGTTTGATTCTGTGCCAACAGAACAGAGGAGGGACAGCGCATCGGCAGCGATGATCTTTCTTTGTGTTTGATACATTTCTAGCAATCAATTCAGTAGAAGGGAATGGAAATTAGTTTCTCGATCCCAACGTCTCCCAAACACTACAGACGCCCCTGGTTCAATTGTTCAAAAGCAGCTATGTGGTTTGTAATCCGCACTTAACTGCATTGCTGTAAATGTGTTTTTATGCAACATGAGCAATTTAGATTTATCAGAGTAGATTTTGGACATTGTTATATATAATAGTGCGTCATAGCGACCACTGAAACACTGGAACAGCTGGACGATTTAGAAGTCTGCGACCGATATGTATGCAGCAAACGCCTAAACATGACACATCTTGAAAACTTTCCCCGAAGGGTTAACACCCACACGGAGTAGATTTTTGACTGATATCCAAGCATGCGAAGGCAGAGATGCAACACTTTGGCGTGTGAATTTTCCTCTGATGACGCTGTGAAACTTGCATTTGACGAGTTGTGCTTTTTTCCTGCGGTGCTGCACTTTCGCAAAAATTTCCATGTGTTCTAAAAGGTAACTAAAAGTGACTACGACCACTTACACCAAGTCTTAAACAACAACTTTGGCAAATGAGCAGAAAACGTGTCGTCCAGCAAGCTGCCGCCCAGCCCCTGCGACAGTCCAAAAAGCTGACTTCTAGTACCTCAGAGATGGCCGAGACGGAACTTCCGGTGCCCGCACTCGCGCTGCAGCGACCAAGCGGGAGTGAGTGATCCGGCAAATTGTCATAGAGATCAGTGGTCCGACACCACCAAATTAATGACGTGGAGTGTTATGCTTGGATGGGTTAAAAGCTGACGGCTGTAAGATGATTAGGGATTTAAGTGTTAGAGGTGTTTCACAAGTAGGATATGTTGGTAACATTGCTGACCACCACGCAGAACGCCTTGAAGAGCTCGCCGGGGACAAGTGCGATTAGCACTGGGGGTTCTTACTTGGTGTCTTCCTCGGGGTTTTCGAGGGCGTATGGGATGTGGAGATGTTGACTGCGGTCGCGTTGAGCGACGAGCCCAGCGAAGTGTTGAAAGACCTTTCGCCGGAGACAGCTTTCATGGGCTGCAGCGGCAAAAGCCCCTTGCTGGTCGTCGTAGAAGTGTTAAGTTTATGCCCAACACCGCTCTGCTGACAGCCATTTTCGTCCGACATGGCTGAGCCTGGAATGAACATGCGGCGAAGTGTTATAAAAACAGAAAGCTGGCACTTGTCCGGCACTCCCTGAAAGCCGAATAGATAGTATTAATGTTATTATTATTGCTATTAAAAATGGCATGGTAAGGCCGTTAACTTATCATGGGGAAACAAAACGACGTAAGGGAACTGTGGCAGAAAATTTTCGTCATTCTTGTCCAGCTCGCTTGCACCTTTGCATTTATTTGCATAATAATTATCACTTACCTTGTTTGCGAGATGGATGTCCGACGAAGATGGATGTTGAAGATGGACAATGACAATGCAATGTGGATGAGGTGACAGTACAGGCGCTGGCACAAGTGCGACCAGCTGAGCGGCTCAGTCGATCGAGTTTTTATACCCAACGACCGTTGACCAGCGAGTTTCAAATGGACCGCGAGTCACGTGGCAAGAGGCATTAACAAGACAAACATTTAAATTAAATATACACAATAAGTGGCGCTAGCGTCTGCATTTTAATGCATTTTATACTAAATAGTTTAAATAAATCCTAGTATTAACTTAAAACAAAAATAAAAAAAACGTATAAAATAAAAGCATAGAAGTAAAATGTGTTTAAAAGGTTTAAAACGAAAGAAACACGCAATAATATCATCATCATTAGTGTTGTTGTCATCACGTGGCTTTTGCATCGCTGTTCAAGTGTACCATCAACTCTGCGGAACCAAAAGAAACTTGCACATTGTTTCCCAAAACAATTTTTATATATATTAATTATTTAGAAACAACATATGGACGAAGCCGACAAGCGCCCACAGTTTGGGCAGCGATATTTGGACGACAAAAGCAAGGTTTTTGAGCACAACGCATGGTGAGCGAAGTGTTCGAAATTTGTCTTTTACTACAGCGTAATTTCGACGCTTATTTTTTGGTCTATATGTGTTCAAAGGAGCAGCATCACATCGGACACACAAGTATCCTGCTAACAAAGACACGAAAGGAATTTTAAAACGAATTAAACGACTAGCAAAGAGCACCTGGTGGATGTTGCTAAAGTCGTTTTGTAATGACCGTCTAGGTACCTTGGCAGGTAGTGACGACGTTTGTCTCGCCTCCGGCCGCCACGAGAGAAGAGGTGGAAGGAGGAACTCCCCTCTCCCCGAGAATCTTTTTTGTGTGTCCCAGAAGTCGCTATTGTCCCTCGACAAGATTTTAGGAGATTAACCCGTCACTCAAAATTCATACAAAAGCAGCCGCTTCAGTGGCTGCAACGACTACGACATCCTCTCAATGTTAGCCTCGCCGCAGCTTTGCTCATCCCGAGACGAACTACGCCACGATTACGGGGAATGTCATGTACTAAACTATTTTTGTTGGGTACGCGCGCGACAGATTGAATGCGACTGAAATGTATAGTTCTAGTTATTTGTATTTTTCATACGATAAGCTATGACGGCGCCGCGGGATTCGCCGCATGTGAAACAACAAACCGCTTTGCTGTCAAAAATAAATTGCCACAGAAGAGGGCCGAAAGGTGCGCATTTTTCACGCTCACAAATAACGTGTTTACCGGTGGACAGGACACGGTCATACAATTGAGGAAGTGTTAATATTCTAACAATATGTCGTACGTACGACACGATGCAGCGTTATCCGAAAATAATTTATTTGAGAAAGATCTCAAATAATACAGTCTTAGTCGACGACAGTCACATCTTGACGATCGGACGGAATCCGAGATGACTTCGTTTTGGGGCACGTTTTGGGGAGAGCTTCCTTTTTTCACAACCGCACCTAGGTAAAGAAACAAACGCGACTGATCCGTTTGTCACCCCAACCCAGACAACTATTTTTGGAGATGACTGAGGATTCTACGCGGATTATCTCTGGGAGGGGGGAGAACAATGTTCGCAAAATCGCATTGAGGGCCGTTTGACGTCCTTCACCTCCTACATTTCACGTGAATGTCGAGCAGAAAAGCTTGAATGGCAGGCACTTACCAGCCTTATTCCTCACAGTGGAAGATAACACAGAAAGGGTACGCAGCACGCATAAAAAAATTAAGTGGAAACTTTCAAGAGGGGCGAGAAAACGTCGAACGCAAAACCGCAAAAACGTAGAGAACCGCACTGAGCGGGTCTTCACAGTCCCAGAGAGTGGCAGAAAATTTCTAGCTGATAGAGGGCGCGAGAGTTGTACCAGCGGCATCAGCATCAGCAACATGGCGGCGGCCTAGGAGCGCTTTTGGAAAGGTGTATATTCAACCTGTTTTTGAACCTGACGAGTAGATTTCAAATTTTGTTGGAGTATCCCTTTAATGCGAAAGCATCTACTGTCTCATGGAAAGGAGCCGGCGGCGTCTATAACCGCGTAGAAGTGAGACATAAAAACCCGTAACCGCGAAAAACGGCACCTAAATTGGCTGCAACGCATGACATCAGATGCTTTGTCACAGAAACTGTCACGGCCGCCCGAGGTCAAAGCAGACGTGCCTCAAGAAAAAAAAAAAAAAAGAAAAGCACAGCAACGCAGACGCCTCACCGCGGAAGCCGGCAGGTGCGCTCAGGATCAAAGTGGATGCGTCAGAAATAAAACAAAGAAAAGCACAGCAACGCAATGCTTCGTCACGGAAGCCGTCATGAAGCCGGCAAGGTTCGCCGTACCTCCGCAGTGAGGGAACTAGTCTTGTGCAAATAGCAGATTTTGAGTTCGAAGGGGATAATGGTTTTGACCGAATATTTTCGATTCGAATATCGAATAGTTTTTCCACGCCTTTCACTACCTTAGCATAATGCTTAGACAAAAACCCAGCTAAACTTGTGAAGGTTGTTCCACTTGTTCATTTATAAGCCAAGTTTAATCTATCTATATATTTATGAACTGCGACCTCAGAAGGTCTGATGTCTTGGGATGGTAAGTAAAAGATGGGTTTGACATAAAAGGAATCCTATAAAAATGGCCAACTATACCCAATTGAGTGAATTTACAAATCTTAAATATTCTTTCTTTAATTTCAAGTTAAAAACGAATGAATTGCACATGATGAACACAGGTTGTAAGGGCATCTCTGCCTAACATATACTCTTGCAAAACCGTCAATTTATTTTTGAAACTTTTACTACAGTGCGGATACTGTCAAACCCGAATTGAAAAATTTGCAAAATTTTAAGGCACGCGAAAATTTAGGTCCTAACGAATTTCAATGCAGGTCTCTGGAATTCGCGAAATTTAGTGGCCGCGACTATTTCCTCTGTGACCGATTTGCGAAAAGTAGGGGCTGCGAAAATAAAGTGTTTTACAGTATACATATTCACAAAGTTTCCATTTATTTTCATATACAGCCAGCACACATGCACCATCGCTCTTTGAATGTATGGTTTTCTTCCAAGCGCGCAATTGCGAAATTCATACTTTTGCAAGTATTTATCGCAGCGGGTTAGCCCCGTTGAGTGCGCTTTTTACCGAGCACCGATGTAATGCGGAGAAGCAATACCCGTGGAGCTCGCTTCCGCGGGTATTGCTTCTCCGCAGCGCACCGGTGCTCGGTAAGAAACGTGCTCAACGGGGCTAACCCGCCACAATCAACACTTCGAAAAATGCGAATAGTGCACTTATTCTCGAAGCGAATATCGAATAGGATATAATTCTAAACTAGTATTCGAAATTTCTTCGCACAATCCTAGTGGGAACATGATGTCACTGCCGCAGCGCCGTGTGCGGTATGAAGACGGCGCGCTGCTTGTAAGAATGTACTGCGTGGGCGAAATCCACCATCGTTGTCATGTCTCAAAACGCACGGCAGGGCGGCCTGTGCGGCGCACCGCCGCACTCCCTGCCGGCGCTGCGGCCACTTCCGTTTCTTTTGGCGCCGAGAATGTCTTCGCATTTACAACTCGTAAGAAGTGCTTAGGCATCCTCGGAATTTTTTTGGCATAGTGTTAGCAAAACATGGGTAAAGAATGTCTAAGAAAAATTTATCTTACTTTAGGGACGATGTTTGCTGGACAGAGGAACAGTTGGAAGCGGCCAAGCAGAAAGTTTCCGAAAACGCCACCGAAAAGGTGGACGCGGCTCTTCGAGGTTTGTCTCTATCTTCACTAATGGATGAATGAACTTGTCTTTCAAAGGCTGACATGCATTTCCTGCATCCTAATTTTTCTTGCTCTCTTTTCTACACCTTTTTTTTTTCTCAACAGTTTCATCCCTCCCAATGCAGCACACACAAGCAAGTTATTCTGTCTAGCATTTGCATGAACAATTCTCACAGATTTCGATTAGCGTAACACCGGTGCCCTCTATCACAAGTATGATTGTGATAGCCTGCCTGTCCCATCATGATCGCAAATGATTCGGTGGTATTGTTGTCATCACCATAATCGGCGTCAATTTTCTTGCGTTACATCGTCAAGGCGATGCATTGTTTACCCTTAATCAGGCGCCTTCCTTTCATCAATTGATCACGTTCCTACATATGGGTATGGGTGATAGACGTACGACTGTTCCAGGGAGCATGTAGCTTCGACCTCACTGTCAGCTTAGGGATTAATGAAGTATGGCGTAGTTTCCACAGTGCTCTGAGAGCACGTTGCTTTGTGTCTTATTCGCATGTGCTCATGCAATTCACTTTGACAAAGTTGTAGCACTCTGATAGCTACGCTGGCCTTGACAGCGTAGCACGAAATAGTTGATGTCAAATATAATGTCTTCGAATTCATAGTTGTAATCATCATCATTTCTATGTTGGCAGGTACATGCACTTGCAGGTAGCTTCATGAGCACAGGTAACGTTTGAGATGATCCCTCAGAAAATGCAGAAGAGCATTAGGCTAACGGTGCGATATGCGCTTTCGTCCAGTCTGTGGGAGCTTCAAAAGACCAGGTTAACATGTCGTTGCCACAAAGTGGCAGGGCTTGTAACCTCGCAAGCCTTTCACTGTTCAGAAGCCTATTACTTTGCAAGTGCAACAGATATACTAGAGCCACTAAATGAGCTGCGCTTAGAGTATCTGCACTCCGTTCTCCAACATTGTTGTGGGTGCCGCCATTTTGGCTCGTTTGCAGAGGAGACGCAACTGCCGATCGTCATAGTTCAAAATTGCAACTTTCTCAGCATTAGTTTCGGTGTTAGAAAGGCCATGTAATATTGCTTTGCTCTGCCACGAGCTGTTCAAGCATTTGTGCAGGGTGGAAAAGTGTTTCCTGTAATTCAGATAAAGCTTCAGATAACTGGCAACTATGATTTTAAGACACAATGTGGTGGAGTGTTGTTACTCTGAAGCGTAGATTATTTAGTTGCACTAAGATATACCAGACATATTGGGTTCTTCCAAATATAGCGCTGGCAGTTCGAACCAGACGCCAAAGTTTGGTCACTAACCATTATTAAAAATAAGTAAGGTTTCATATTTTCTGAGTTTTTTCGTTTGTTTTTTTATTTGGGGGGG